GGTTCTCAACCTGTGGGTTGCGACCCACAGGAACTGTATTAAAGGACCTCAGCATTAGGAAGGTTGAGAACCACTGGCTTAAGGGATTCTCTTGCGTCAGTCTCCTAAGTAGCTGGGATTGAAGGCACCCACCACAACTCGGGGCTATTTTTTGGTTGCAGTAGTCATTGTTTTAGCAGGCCCAGGCCTGGCTTGAACCTACCAGCTTCGATGTATGTGGCTGGCGCTCTATTCACTGAGCACAGGCGCCGAGCCACTTTACTTTATTATTATTATTATTTTTTGAGACACAGTCTTACTACGTTTCCCTGGGTAGAGTGCCCGTAGCATTGCAGCCTCAAACTCTTGGGCTTAAGTGATTCTCTTGCTCCAGCCTCCCAAATAGCTGGGACTACAGGCTCTTGCCACAAAGCCCAGCTATATTTTTGTTGTTGCGGTTGTCATTGTTTAGCTGGCCCAGGCCGGGTTTGAACCCACCAGCCTCCATGTATGTAGCTGGCACCATAACCACTGTGCTATGTGCGCTGAGCCACCTTTTACTTATCTTAATGTGTATTTTTGTTTGTCCCTCCCTGCACTTTGTCAAGAGAGTCCTCCAATTTCTGTCCACAGACAGTCTTATTTAAAGGGTTAGACTCACAGATCTTCTGAATCTTCCTGTCCCTTGCACTCATCTATGGTAGCCCAAACCTTCCTCTTGCCTCCTGGAGACCTTGGAGGTTGGTGTTGTCAGCTCCATACCTTCCTCTCCTGAGAGACTGGTCTCCCCACCCAGCTGTGACCAAGTGGGTGACCATCTCAGAGGAGGCAGTATCCTGCCTCTCTGTTCTTAAGACCTGTTCGGCTTTATTATCTTTCACAGTATTTCACAGCCTTTCACCTTTATGTTTCTCATACACACAGTTTTATTTATTTTTATTTTATTTTATTTGGCTCTTCCCAACAGAGTGATGCAGTTTTAAATTATGACCTGAGTATAATTAAAGACTCTTGGCTCCTACTTTCCTGCCTAGTAGTTTAGGAACTGGGATTGGGTTTGATTAAAACATGACTTGGTGGGGATGGGACAGTGGACTTACGTTCTCCCCAAACTGGAGGCCAAAGTAGCCGGAGTGTCAGATGTATTGGTCGTAACCAAAGCCGGAAGAAACTTCTGTAACACTGGGGAAAACAGAAAATCTGATTAGACTATTGAGGGGCAGAGGACTGAAAATGCATTTTGATAAAATGGACTCCTGTGAATATAGCAGTGAGTGTTCACTGTCACGCTGTGTGCAGTCTCCGACATGTATTAAAAGTTTTCATTGAGCCCCTGGACCTTGGCTTGTTGGCTTCTCACAGGGTGGCCGAGGTACCCGACGCGGACCTCCCGGGGTTGTCAGCCTCGGCAATGCCTTTCAGTCGCTCAGTGATAGGCATTCCTATGAGCCAATCGGAGGCGCCCATGGTGTGGCCAATAGGGAGCTGCCGCAGGCGGGCTGGGCGGGCCGGTTAGATTTGGCGGTTCGACTTCAAGATGGCCGAGGCAAGTAACCTATCGGCGGGTGGACCCTATGAGAACAGCGGGCCTGAGGGGTCGCCTTCTGAACCTGTGCCACCAGGCGCTACCGTTTCGAGGGTGAAGCTTCTCGACACCATAGTGGACACCTTTCTCCAGAAGCTAGTCGCCGCCGGGAGGTAAGGTGGACAGTGAGAGGAACAGAGGTGATGAAAGGTCTGTCCCGCCAAAGTCCTCGCCCCGCGCAGGTGAGGCGGGGCGAAACGCTGGCTGCGGCAGCCTGGCCCAGCCCTCCCCAAAAGGCCCAGGGACGTTCCCGATACAGCACCGGTCGCAAGGCCCAGCGACGCGCTCCTCGTGTGTGCCCTGAGGTCTGCTGCGGTTGCAGGGGCGACGGAGCCTCAGCGGTGCGGCGATCCAGTCTCGGGGCAGGGTTCAAACAGCAGACGTGGCCGGCCGTTGTCTTGTGGACGGGAAACGCTCGTCCTGCCTTGACCTTTATTCTGTGTGACGCTTATATATTGTTTTTGTTTGTTGTTGAGGTACAGGGTCTTACTCTGTCCCTCAGGCATGATCACATCTCACAGTAACCTCCACCTCCTGGGCTCAAGCGATCCTCCTGCCTCGGCCTCCCAGTAGCTAGGACTACAGCCCGCCACCATGTTGGTCGAGTTTTTCCATTTTAGTAGGGACAGGGTCTCACTCGTGCTTAGGGTGGTCTCAAACCCCTGAGCTCCAGGGATCCTCCCATCTCAGCCTCCCGGAGTGCTAGGACTACAAAGTGAGCCACCGAGTCACCATTCTCTGGTCTTATTTTCCCTGCTCATTCGCACCCTCTCCTCTCCCCAGGCCGCACTTTCTGTTGGCTGTGAGTCTTCCATTTATCCATGATGTGACTATTTGTTGGCCAACAATGTCCCAGTCTCTGTTCTAGTTGCTAGAAATACAGTAATGACCAAGACAGATAAGATCCCTTTCCTCATGAAATAGACATTCTGGTGCCATTAAAAAAAATCAGGGTAGGGGTAGCGCCCCATATACCGGAGGTGGTGGGTTCAAACCCAGCCCCAGCCAAAAACTGCAAAAAAAAAAAAAAACCCAGGGTAAAGGAATAAAGAGCAATAGGGATGGGTTAGGGTGAGGA